ATAACTAGCTATTCTGAGATATCAAGCCAATCTATGTAACCGCCCTAGTCTTTCTAACCAGTAAAAGCAAGTAATTGCTGGCTGAAGTCAAATTTGTTTTGTATCCAATCAGAAGCTTTTGAGAGCCTTTCTGCTTTACAATCAACTTGGCGATTTTTCAGCAGGCAGTCCATAAATGGGAAAAATATGATAGATGTAGCCTACTTCGATCAGTTTTTATGAGTTTGGAAATATCCAAAATGTATCAACTGTCAACAACGGATAAACAGATAAACATTAAAAAGAAGAGGATGTTGAGTGAAAAAAGACCCAAAAAGAATGCAAGAGTGAACATTGCTTTGCGTCTGTTTTGTAGGTAAATGCATTTCTCACGTTATGTGAAAAAAGCAACATGTAATGTCAAGCAGAAGTCCTACAAAGGCTAACATCACATTAAGTTAATTTTTTAATCTGTGTAAGAAAATGAACAGATTGTCTTAAAGTAGGTACTAAATGAAATGGACATGGTAACTAAACTGATTAGATATGATTCTAGGGTTAAGATGTTCCTTTGATAGGGCCCTAAGAGAATATATCATTACGTTGGACCCCTAGCCAAGAAGATTTTGGCAGCTTGTTTCTTGGAACGTCACTTCTTTGACGTCACTTCTTCTTAATTATTTTTGACTGACAGTTTTCACTTGCTAACATATGGCAGAAGAAACATTTAAGTTTGGAAGCTAGGAAAGATTGTCTTAAAGCTCTGCCCAAATAAAGGATATTTCATATGGGTTTAAATCTTAGTTTAAAACACAATCTATGGGTTGAAATGTATGTCTTGATGAATGACGACTAGTCTGTTGTAAAATGAAATTAAATCCAATGACTATAAAGCTTGCAGAGCTATTTTGTACTCATACATAGGACCAGGGAACGTTTAATCTCTGATCTTATATCAACACCATCACTTTTGCAGCTGCCTAATGGTAATAGCAGTGCAGTGTAAAATTACACATACTTCAATGTACTTTTTACTTATACCAATAGATTCAACACAAACATTTACCAACACACATCTTGATAGAGTTTAAGTATTAATGCAACACCATAGCAGCTGTTACGTTCAATAAAAGCATATATGATTGCAGTACATCTTACTATAGTGTTTTGTAGCATATTTATAATATCATACTGTGATATGTAATGTGACTTCCACTTACATTTAATTAAGCGGGTCGGCAAGTCCCTCCAAGTGAGGTTTTCCCTTTTCTCTTCCTTTAGCTGTAAAACACAGCCTGTATCAAGGATGTTTAGCCATAAATCTGCGATCAGCCTCAGACATGGTGTCTTGTGTGAATAGTATACACTGTGTAAGTGGCACACTGTCAAATAAGCAAGGAGAGAGAGGGAGAGAGAGAGAGAGTCTGTGGGATGTGGGAATGGGTCAGCAAAGTCAGAGACGAGTCAATTCTAAATGTGTGGTGGGGGTGGAGGGATGTGGAGGGGATAAGAGAAGTGCATGGAGTGGGAAGGGGGTTAAACATGTTATTGTAGAGGGTGTGGAATTTCAGTGCCATGTGTTCCCCTTTCCTGTGTATATGTATGTTTGTGTGGAGAGTAAGGGGGAATTCATTATTGTAAAAACCAACAAAATCTTAGTGCAAAGAAATTCTCTATCTACTTACTACAAAACAGATTTAAAAACTTTAATTTTAATTTAATTTTTTTAATTTTAATTTTTTTATTTGATTAATCAAATAGCATGAGGATGGTTGGGGAGGAATTACTGACCAGTTAGGAGAGTCAATACACATATTTAAAGCAACTGTATGTAGTTTTGTGTATTTTTCGATTTTGGAGCCCCCTACAGTTGGTTAAGGCTTAAAGGTATACAGCTGCGGTTACTGGGTATGCGCACACGCATCTGTCACACTGTATAACAATAATTACTGATTTTGCATTATTGTAAGGGGTAGGTTTAGGGTTGGGTATAGGTGTAGACATTACTAAAACACGATCTAATAGGCATAAAATTTAATTTATTGTTACGTTCCCTACAGTTAAGTCAAATTCATTGTCGTAAATGTATCATTGTCGTAATTACAGTGAATAGCCTTACAAGTGTCAGTGCCATAAAGCAATCCGCCCTTTTTCATACCCGCTCACCAAAGTCACTCCCAAAACACATTATTATAAGTCAGTGTATTCAAGCATTAATTGAAATGTTTGGAAACAATATTGTCTTGTCACTCATATTATTTATAGCCTTCAGCTGTGATTGAACCGTCAGTGAGAAACCACCTCATGGACTAAGTCTTTAAGACTTAAATGCGCACTATTTTTGCAACAGTGCTGTTTGAATAATGCTGTTCAAGGAAAAGGTCAAATGTAGGCAATATGGCGAATCCACATCTGTAGATAAATAACAATTTATCTAGTGCCTTTGAGAATGGCAAATCTAGTGGGACAGACCACCAGACAGAAGAACCAGGTCAAATTCTGTTCTCCCTGGCTTATTTGTGACAGTTCAACAGGTGATGATCTCTTCTCACTCTGTGTCCCTGTAGTTAAAGCTATAAAGATTCCTTTATTGTGTTGGAATATAGGTTAGCTATGCTATGGGCTGGCACTTGTGTTGTATATGATGGACTGTGTTCTCATTGAAAATAGCAGGATCAAAGCCAAACTGCAGCTGCTCTTGTCTTTTCATGAACTTGTATGAGCATGTAATACATTTAAAAGGGTTCTAACATTTTATGGTCACATAACAGAAAGTCAGCTTTTAAAATGTTTAATGTATAATAATTATAATTATTATTACAATGATTATTGTTGCTATTTAATAACAATTTATTAATGTTGTTGTTGTTGTTTTATATTTATTTACACATTCTTTATGCTTGCAACATCACTTCTTTGGTTGTTCTGGGAATGAGGTCAAGGAAAGTGCCTGCGTCTGAGTGTATCTCTGTGTTTCTGTGTTGGTGGGGTAAGTGTTTCAGTACATTTGCAGATGTTTGGTACACTCAGGAAGCGGTGTGTGTGCCTGCCTGTCTGTCAGCCACAGAGCAAAGTTACACACAGTATTTTCATAGCCAACCATTCCCCCCTTCTGTCAGGGAGCCACGTTATACTCTTAAGTCCCCCCTGACTACTTCTCTGTCTTCTTACATACTCACACATTTAGTTAGGTGTCTAAATGAGGGCATACCATAGCTTTACATTGCTTTATATTAAGTTAATTGTTCCACAATGATCGTTTTCCAAACCCTAACTCTTACAGAAATCATTTGCATTTTGCATTATTAGTCAAAAACAGTATTTGCTTTATGAATTAATTTACCAGTTGCGGATGTCCCCAAAGGGAGGTTGTCAGATTTAGCTAAATTCTGGGGACATACTAGAGCTAATTAACACCAAACACACACACACACACTGGTGAAAGTATGCATGCAGTGTGAGGTGTGGAAACAGCAAACCATGGTGCTGACACGAAGAGTTTTATTTAAACCTCAATCTGACGTGTAAGTGCTGCTGTCTGTGAGTAATTCAAGAGCAGCAATGGTATGTGTTTGAATGTGTCTGTCTGTGAGTGATTGTCTGTCTGTGTGTACAAAACATATCTACACAGTAACCTGCTCATAGAACCAAGAACTGCTATTCCACATGTTATGGACATATTGTATTATTAAATATGTGCTTATGCAATAAACTTAAGTAAAAACTTTAGTTAAAAAAAAGTGCTTATGACAGTAAATTGAAAATAAAGGCCTTAGATAAACCTGCATGCTACAAATCATGAGTAATTCTGCTATCTAGTGGCTCACAAATGTCATTGTGCAGGGGCCTTTAAACATTGCTCCTAAATTTTGACCCCTGTGCTTCTAAAAAAGTTATTATTGCATAACCCTGTTGTGTCGATGTTCAGATTTCTGAAAATGGTGCATTGACGTGCCTCTCCAGGTTCACACCAAATGCTGTTGCTTTAACTGAACACAGACTTGCTTGTTAAAATAAGAGGAATGGAGAGTGAGATTTGAGAGTTGACAGAGGTTTCATTTCAGGTTAGACTAACCCTATTTTTTTTCAGGAAAGCACTGGAAGAAGAGGGAAGCGGAATCGACAAAGGACCTCATAACAGGAATCGAACTTGGGTCACTGTGAGTGCAGTTGCGAAATGTAGGCTAAATATGCTATTCAGCAGGGACACCTCAATTGATCAAAAGTGACAGTAAAGCCATTTATAATAATGATGCAAGAGATTTCTATTTCAAATAAAATCTTGTTCTTTAAACTTTCTTTTCAACAAAGTTTCCTGAAAAAATATTACACAAAATATTAAGCAGCATAACTGTTTTCAACATTGATAATAATAAGAAATGGTGTGTGTATGTGTGTGTGTGTGTATAGGAGCAACTTTAAGTTAACAGAACAATGTCCAAGCTTCAGCTAATTGCTCAATCTGTACTTAATGTGTAATTAAATGATACTGACATTGATAGTGAGGTAGCTGATTTTTTCATTCATAATTCTTTATCATGCCAATTGATTGGCGTTATCTCTTAAGGTAGCAACTTCAGGTAACCTGACGAAATCAATACTCTATATCAGGGGTGTTGAAAGTCGGACCTGGAGAGCTTCAACCCTAATCAAACACACCTGAACAAGCTAATCAAGGTCTGAAGGGTTACTAGGAGGTTACAGGCAGGTGAGTTTTTATTAGGGCTGCGGCTCTCCAGGACTGGAGTTCACAAACCCTTGCTCTATATGCTTAATATATCAGTCAAGAACAAACAAACCTTTTTTTTTTACAGGAGTGAAGCAGCATTTCGGACAAACACTTCCTCCACAAACACAGCCCCTATTGTGAAAGGCCGTTGACAAGGTTTTATTGCACAGAACCTCTGATCCAACAGTGTGACTCACCCTTTATGCACAAAGTCCAACTGATTAGTCCAGAGCTGTCACATTCATTGAATGCATCTGCCTTGTGTTGCTGACAAAACAAAGTGTATTTCCTATTGTCCACTCTCTCTCTCTCTCTGCCTCTCCGTAGAATGCACACTCAAACATTCCAACAAATGTTTCACTCGATTTTGAAATTGGCTGGTTAAAAAGTTGCACATTTATGCAGTAAAATAAGGGAAGCACATGAAAAGGTAACAAAAGGGTGGGGGAGTGTGAGACTGACTCACCTGTGATATGTCTAACTTATGCAGTTTGCCTGTCTAGCTTGTTCTGCGCTTTATGGGCGTTGCTGGTCCATTTATATCGCATGACTCCAGGGCAGGTTTCTCTTTCACTCAGACGTTCTTTTGGGACAAGCATCTTTTATAAAAGGTAGGTAATACTTAATCTGTACACGTACAGTTCTCAAAAACAGGTGCTCGGGACTGGAGTGTCGGAATAACTAATGTTACGTGCAACCTCCGTGTTTCTCTCTCAGTTGATCTCTGAAGTGTAATCAAACCTCTGCGCGCAAGGGAAATATTTACGGTGATATGCATATTATTACATATGTTTAAACAAAAGGACATTATATTAGCAGAATGTACAGCATTCTAGAGATATTTTGTATACTAACGCAGGACATTCATAAACCAAATAGTTTATACTCTTGATCTGCTCAATACTCTTTGCTGCTTTTTGTGAAAATATTGCGCTAGGCTATGGATTTTAACGATGGTTGCATAAATGATGGGGCTCTTTTTTTCGTAGTGTCATCAGTCATGGAGAGTCTCTCTCGTGCTAACAGTCTCTTCGCTCTGGATCTCTATCGGACTCTGAGCGAGAGCAGCGCCGAGGGAAACATGTTCTTTTCCCCACTGAGCATCAGCGCAGCGCTCAGCATGGTCTACTTGGGAGCTCGAGGAGACACTGCCAAAGAAATGGAAAAGGTATGAAGTATAAGCATCTGGAGAACAAGCAAAGGTCTGTGTGGGAGTTTTTTTTTTTTTTTGTCAGTTGTGAATCTACAAATAGGTTCTGCACACTTACAGTAATCCTTGATTGGGAAATCCAGCTAGAAAACAAAAACCATAACCCAAAACAAGGGGAAAACAACAAACCTGTTTGACAGAAAAAAAATGGGGGGAGGCCCAAAAGTCAAAGGGGTAAATATTTGCTCATAGTATGAGCTTGACACAGAGTTGCATTTATCACAGCCAAACAATATCACACAGTTATGAGTTTTTACCTGGCAAGTTTGTTTATTTAAGCAAGATTTAGTGAAAAAATACCTTTCATTCTCAGTATCTTAGAATTATTTGAGAGTTTAGGTGAGAATGCTTGTGTTAATTAATTAGGCCTAATACATTTTAGGGTTGAGAAAATATAGATGTATAGATTGTCGACTCTTTTCTGTTGGGTAACCGTGAAAGTTTGAGTTGACATTATCATGCAGTGAATTCTTCCTGTCATTTCAGTTAATTATCCATAGATGTGGCCAATTCAAGAAAATTCCCAAAGCATTTTTTTTACTGCAGAAAATGTGCTCTCATTCAAAATAACATTGTCATTGAGTTTAAGTGAATTCAGTTAGGACCTACTGGCCCTACACTACTGTTCATGGTGGTGAATACCATAGCAAATCTATAGTTTATTGGGTAGGTATAGCCACAGTGGTAACATATTAACTAACATATAGAAGTAATGAAAATGTTCCAAGTTGCATAAACACTGCAGTGCTATATGCTGACTTCAACCATACATCAGCAATCTATTAGAAAGTATATTTGCATGCTTAGACTGAAATCAAATGCAAAGCATTTGACGTTTATTGAGGACCTAGACATAGCAGGACATTTGATTAGCCAAAGAGCACATGCAGACTGTGGTACTACCAGAGAGCAACTGACTCAACAGAGACAAATGATTACAGCTGCACATACCTCTCTCTCCCACTCTTTCAAGCTGCTCTATTAGAAGGAGCTTAAAAAGCAGAAAAGTGCATCCAGGTCTGAAAGAAAAAAACAACTGAGATTTTAGCCACAAAAGCCAACTTGTGCGTGCTCTTAGCTTGCTGACGTGATTTGATTTAATTTCAGACTCATCTAGATAATGTAAATTGTCTTGACAATGTACTTCAGACTTTGACAACATTTAGTTTACTCCTTGAAATAAATGTGCTCAGAACAGGCTCTTCGGTGCACACCCTTAGCTTATTCTGTAACATACCATGGGCATTTAAAAACTTTTGAACAAAAGAGAAATATATAATAAAAATGACCAATTTTGTACAACTACACTCTAAAAAATGCTGGGTTAAAAAGGGACAAACCCAGCT